AAAAAAAAAATCTTGAACTTGTTTTTCAGTCGATAAAAGTGGATACATCAAATTGCAGGTCCTCGTGTCAGTCCCAATCAGAATTTGTCGTTCAAAAATCTCTGTAATCTTCGGCAAGCTAATTTTACCCATAGTATTTCTGATGATTATGTTTCACAGATTCAACTAAATTTTACTTTTTCTATATCAAATCAGGTAATAACATCAACAGTTTAAATTTTAGTAATATCTCATTTTTGATTACTGATATCGCAGAATTGTTATAATTTTTTGCAGTATAATGGTGCCTTCTTATGTGTGATACAAAAGTTAAGTGTACTTTAATGCTGTTAAAACTTTTTTAATTGCACTGCGTTGTGCTATTTGTTACGAAAGTATAATTGGTAATTCTGGAAAGGGAAGAAATAGTTGTGCAGTTACGTTATTTATTCACTTTTAATGTCGCTTCAAAATTTTTTCATATTTATTTTTACAGGAAAAAACTTCTTCAGCAAATACTGCTTATTATTCAAGTAAAAGTTATCGTGATATTAACAGATCTCTAGAAGAACCGAGAGAGAATTTTATGCGGTAAGCGTCAAGTCCACAAGTTTTCTAATTGCCTGACTGCAGTCTACATAGCTTACTGAGGTTTTATTCTTACCAGAAATGATCATATGATCATATAGTCATGTGTACACTTGCAATTTTTAGGTCATCTTTGAAAGCTCCGTCAATGCCAACTTTGGTAAGACTGTTGTGACTTTTTTTCGATAAATACGTTGTTTTTTTTCTTTTGTTTTTCAGTGAAATTTCTAAATTCTTATTTTATGTCTTAGCGCTTTATTTGTTCATCTGTATAATATCATTTTGAAGAAGAAACATTCGAGTAAACTAGTTAATTATTTCTTTTAGACCAACGGTGGAGAACAAGGTCCGAGTGCAGTTTTACTAACGAAAACTTCAAAACCTTACCAACTGCGAAATCCATTATTTATAACTAAACCGCTAACTCGGTCTGGAACTTCAAAAATCTGCTAAAAATTATTTTTAAGCAAAAAAATTTTCTTTTTGCCATTTTTATTTTTTACTGTAAACTGGTGAAGTAGCTTTCAACGGTCAGTTAAAAAAAAGGTTGAAGCAATTTTTTCTATCTTAAATTTATTTTTTTTAGAGTGTCAAACGTAAGTCGCAAAATTCAAGCTCGTTTAGCTGAAAAATCGTTTACTGAAATTGTGGACTGCAATGGAAATAAACCCGCATATGTTGCCGTAGAGACAGACAGGGTGAGGACACTTGATTTTATTTGCAACTATTGAACTTGTCGAGACTGAGTAATTTGAAAAGAAAGTAATGTTGATACTACGAAGTCTGAAGTGGATTTGCAATAATTTGTGGTTAATATTAAATTTACAGAAAATGGCAGGAAAATTATTGATTTTAGGAGTTGGATCTAGACATCGAAAAATACGACCAGCTTTCGACAAATGAAGTCGTACTGCAATTTCAAGCTTTGGCACTGAAGTAAGTAAATCGAGAAAAAATTTTTATAATTTATGCCGCTAAAGTTGTATGCTTTATTAAAGTTACTGATAAATTACCTGCTGAAACTGACCGGTATTTTGAAACTTGTTGGAACCTTTTTTGTAAAATTACTTTTATTTAGTCCGTCGGGGTCATCGGTTCTTGTCTCTCCTAGTCGTGTCTACTTTAACGTGTACTTTTATCGTTTCCAGCCAATAACAACTGACAGGTTACTTAAGTAACAATTTTCTGTTTCTTTTGCGTATGACCAATGAGAAGTGAAGACAGCTTTTAATTCTGTGCAGCGGTATTTGCAGTACAATTCTTAGAGTGTAGCTCAAAGTTTAGAATGCTTCTAAAGTTTGATGATGAAGATGATGGCGATGTGATAATGAAAAATGGCTATCATTTGGGGATTTTGCATCGGCTTGACGTCTACGAAAATCTGATTGACACGGATGACTGTGGCTTAACGGTAATATAAAGCTAGCCTGTTGGCAAAATTTTTTTACAGTCAATTTTTTTATGTTACTTTAATGGAGTTGCAAGTTTTGTACTAAATGGAGAGATTTCCAATTTTTTCTATTACTAGATTTCCCAGGGAAGACATTTGCAGTATCAGCTGCAAATATTGCTCAGAAAATCTTTCGACTGTAAAACTGTTCTTCAGATTTTGTATTGACACTTGCAGACTTGTTCAAAAATACTTTATTTACGGTCCTTGATTAAGATAAAATTTACGGTGGATCAAAGCTCTTTACGGGATGGTGAAGAAGATGACTTTATACTTTACCTGTTAAACAATGACCTGATCATAGAAGTATGGGATGCTGATTCGCTGTTACTGTTTGGTTTAACGACAATTCCGTTAAAAGTAAAAGTTTTTTTCGAGATAAGTAGAAGAAAATTTTTTTAGTTTTTTTTCATTGATGTATAAATTTTTCAAACTTTTAAGAAGTGCTGTGAAAATGAAGAAACTCTGCAGTTTGTTTTGTTATAGCATTAATTCTAATTTGAAACTAATCAAATTCTGATTTGGTTTTATGTTAAAATGCTTGAGTTGCTAATGTTTTATTGTTTTTGAAGTTTTTACTGAGACAAAGTCGAGAAGCAGTGATGACTAACATACAGGCAAAGGTAAATCACTCGGCGATTCCAGGTTTTATTCAACAAACGGCAATACTGTTTCTGAGAACTGCATGTATCGGCTACTCATCTAATAATCTTGGAGGTAAACTTTGTCTTTTGCAACATATTACTCATACTTTATCGGCTGGTCAACAAATTACCGAGTCTTTTTAAAAGTAGTGCATGAAATATTAAGTACATTATTGATCTGTAACTTGGAGCGGTAGTTAAAACAGCGAAAAATGAATATATTTCTAGGACATAGTAAAAGCAAAACAAGTGCCTTGGTTAGCCGACGTTTGAAGCGTCTTGGTCAAAACGAGTTGAATTCCTACAGAATTCGAGCCAAACCCTTGAATCCCATTCATGACAGTGCTATGCAACGTTTTATGGCTCTTCAAAAGTACGCATGAAATAATGTATCAATTTCCTTTTGAAGATAAAATTTATATGTTCTTTTTTAGGTTAGATATAAAACAGCGGTATGAAGAAGTTTTTCGAAATGATAATGTCTCAAAACTTTATAGAAATCGAGAATTTCAAGAAAACAACGTGGTTGTCAAAGTTAGTTGTCGCTTTTTCTTGTTCTTTTTAATTAACTTAATAAATTTAAGCTATAAGAACTTCTTTACAGCCATCGGTTAAAAATCTTATCTTTCGCGAAGAATTGGAAGCTTACAAACAGATGCGTAATGAAACAAAACCAAATAAGCTGCTAAAAGCTGTCTTCAATTCAATTACCACTGAACACAGGTTCAGAACGGTTTTAATAGTTTTTTTTTGCTTTGAAATTTTTTTTTTTGAATTTTATTCTAATTGATGCATTGTTTTCTGCAACCCATAGAAGACAGCACATATTTTCAGAATCTTTCCAGCTTATGGACAAGTTGAGTATTTCGAATTTCTTCTACAAAATACCATAGCTGAGCCAATTAATGTGGTCGTTGAAATTACTGATCCATCCTTGAAGTAAGATACGTCTACATCAAATTGCTTGTATCGTTATACAAAGACAAGTGTTAATGTACGACATATATAGTGACCTTTTTTAAAAGTTACAGGCTGGTTCGCGACACAGAAATGTGGTCATTTCTGAAACGCGTCTGCAACATCTATTCTGCGGTTGAGAAAGATCTACTTCACGTGACAAAGAATGAAGACGATTCTATTTTTGTGCATATATTCTTAAATCCAATGGAATCTGTTTATGTGCCATTCGTTTACGACGGATTCTTACTACCCGAAGATCAAGTTTCCAATAAT